CTTCATAAACCTGTATGAACAAGTAAATTCAATTATGTCTATGCTATCTGGCCAGATTGTTCGGGAAGAAGCTGGCTAGCATTTTGGTGAACAAGCATCTTGATTTACTTGAGGGATCATTTCTTGTACCAACCTGGTATAGACTTAGCCTTGATTTAGGACTGAAACTGGTTTGAGATGTAATTACTGTTGAGTCATTTAGTAGCAGTCAGTGACCACAGTACAATTACAGGTTCAGCATCCTCGGGGGTGGAAGGTCTTGGACTAAAAATGAGTCCTGTGCTATAAGACATTGCAGGGGAAAAGATCAGAAAAACAGAGTCCTTAGACTTGTCAAGGCAGCCCCGTAGATACCTGGAAAGGTTACAGATAGCTTGAGTTAGGCAGAGCTTCAGAGCTGAAGGGGAAATCAGTTATAAAGGAAGGGACTTCTGGAGTCCAGCAAGACTCCATCAAAAGACTGGAGTCCATCTCTTGCAGTGGACTGAAAGAGCCATGCTGTGTGGCAGGCAGCCTGTGAGCTGGACATTAAGCAGTTTAAGAGGGGCTTTGAAGAGCCTGGGTCTTAGGGAGCAAACACTGCCTTAAGTGTGTCAGAGAGAAGGCTGGGGACAAAACCTTGAATGTGCAGGACTGAAGGCACAGTTAATTTTCAGCACTACTTCATACTACTTAAGTGACTTATCCATGTCATTCTGGAGCACAGGGCATGTTTGAGAGCCTGCCTATGCATCACCTTGTCCTTTTGGATGGTAAAGATAAGGAACCTCCCTATGAACTCTAGTGTTTGAGGCAGAGAAGCTGGAGCAAAGTAGTGAATTTAAGTGGAAAAGCAACAGATATACCTAGGAGTTGTAAAAGAGCTTGAGACTGAAATGCTAACATTACTAGCAAAAATAGGGCTGTTAAAAACTAGCTTTACCATAGAAAAACTATGGTGTTCTCCATAAGTAGCTAACATCCTAATATCAGATTAGTATTTTTTTTAATTAAAGTATTAAACAGGGTGCTGGGAATTGCAGATCAGCAACCCAGCACTCCGGTTTGAGAAGGAGAAACTGAAGTGCTCTAACTCTTCAGTATGTGATAGGTTGAAATCAACATGCTTTCTGCAAAGAAAGGTAGTTGGACTACATTGTCTTTGAAGGTCCCTTCCAACCCAAACCATTCTGTGATTCTATGATCAATCTTGTTTTCTGGGTAATCTAACAGAATCTTTGAACGTGTTGAAAGCAGTTGGAGGTAGAGAATCAACTGATCTTTATTTGGTTGATTTAAAAGGTTTTATCAAGTCCTCCCCAGAAGGTACTCAAAAATTACGCTTGTAATGAGAAGTGTAATATCTTGGAGTCCTTCTCTATTTGCAGCTGATGTTGATCACTGGGCAGCAAAAGGTAGACAGGGATCTAGTTGGAGATGGTGATTGAAGGCTTCCAGGTCTGCATCTTGAGTAGGTCTTCAACCTTTGAGCAAATGAGTTTCCTGTGGAAAACACTGATTCATTAAAACCAAAGATGCCACGTGGAGAAGGGTTGATTTTCACTGAACTTTTCTGGTGAGCCCATCTAGGTCCAGGACTCAAAGTCTCGTTGACCGCAGAGGAGAAACAAGCCCACAGTAATGGGTAGCGTGGCATCTAGATTCCTCCTTTAATGTGACACCCTCCTATTCAAATTCCTACCCTGAGCTTGACTTGCAGGTCTGCCAAATCCCAGAGCATGCCTCAATAGCTGATGTTTTCTTTTGGTTTTATCAGGAAAAACCTGATTTTGGTTTTGGCATTGGGCAGAAAGGGAAAGAGCAGGGAAAGAGCACTGGTCAACATCTTCCAGGTCTCATTTTGGCAGTTCTTGAGGGATGGTGTCCATGTGTGTGAGTGCGTGCAGACCTGTTATCTCTCTTCCCAAGAGACCTAGAAGGACCCACAGCTAACTGGTGGGAGCTGGAGCATCCCTTTGCTGCTCTAGCTTGGTTTCAGGCTCCTTAAAAGTCTAGAAGTCATAGAAAATACACTCACTTCTCCCACCTTCCCTGTCTTTATTAGATCATGGTACCAAAGAGTAAGTGCTTTGATAAGTCATTGGATTTTGCAAGAGGAGCAGGTTAACTGCAGCCACCTCAAGTTAGAGTTAGTGTTTAGATAAAAGAATTAGCAATTGAAATTGCCCCATCCCTGGCAGTGTTCAAGGCCAGGTTGGACAGGGCTTGGAGCAAGCTGCTCTAGTGGAAGGTGTCCCTGCCCATGGCAGGGATTGGAACTAGATGGGCTTTAAGGTCCCTTCCAACCTAAACCATCCTGTACTTATATGAAAGAATAGAGTAGTTGGTTTATACCATAGAAGTGACTTCAGCCTGCCCGTGACTGGAAGTTCCGAAGATCATGATGAGGTCTGGTACTGTGAGCATGCAGCAGTAGGTGCCGGCTCTGGGAAATGCAAGACAATGGGCAGGGGGCGGAAAAAGGCAATTTTTAATGCTCCAACAGTATTGCTGGGCTTTAAGTGATTTGCTCATTCAGGAAGAAGAATATTGAATTCTGGGTAGCAAAACCAAATGAGGTGAAGGTTTATAAGCTGCCATAGAAAATAACTGTGTGTTAGAGCAGTAGGTGCTGAGGTCTGAGAAGCTGCAGCGCATGAACTCTCCCGTGACACGGTTCATCAGACCCTCGCGGTGCCCCTGTGCTCCTTCCCCTTGGTAATCTGGTGCTTGTCACTGATGCAACCTTTGTCCCTCCCCTTAGAAATACCTATTTAATGGGATTACTCACTTCTAGTTAAATTGTACCAGCTGACTTTGAAGTACTTAATATAAAAATGTTGTGGTATGCTTGCATGATAGCTATTTGATGTAAGTACAAAAATCTCTTGTGCTCTCTCTTTCGGAATTTGGGCTTTGAGTTTCATTGGGGAGCGTTGTACGTACCCAACTGCACGGGATCAGGCCCATCTCTTTTTTAAAATGTATTTCGTATCTGAGATTAGAAACATTCTAGGAGACAAATCAGAAGATAAAGTTGTCTGTTACAGGCTCAGATGATAATAGCGACTTGTGCTAAAGGCTGCCCGTCCACGTAGCAAACTGCACGGCTGCTTCTGTTCTAACTGCTGTCAAAGGTCCGGCATTTTGGTAATAGTATTTATTTTCTAAATGTACTGAGTATACTTGCCTTTAAATCCTGTTAGGTACAGATAATTATTGTTGGTATTCTGTAAATTAGCTCTATACTAGCATTCACATTGGAGTAGGCTTAATATTGTGAGTGTCAAAGATGACTTGAAAAAGGAAAATTCATTTATACCCTTTTAGTGCAGTTGTACCCCATACAAGGTGTTGTTTGTGGAAGTACCAGGAGTGCTACAACTGTCTCCCCCACTTTTACTTGCTGTGATTTTCTGCAGGAGAACATACAGATTTAAATCTATTTTTCCATCCTTCGGAGACACTGAGATATTATCACAGTGAGGCAATAGATAAACTAGGCCATACTGCAGAGAAAATGTATCTTTTCCTTTTTTTTTTGATTCCTTCTGCTGTTAATCAGGCCTCCGAGCATTTTTATTATTATTATTTTTAATTTAAAACAGTTAAATTGTTTGAGTACAAATCACTTCCCCCGTGTCTGGTGCGACATCCTCTAAGACACCATAGGTCTGTTCAGGCTGGATTATTTGTGGTCTTCCAGAAAAACTAGATGGGACTGGAATCACTAATGCCAAAATTTGCCCACGGCAAGGGAAGGAAATCCTTACCCCATCCAGACCCTTTCCAGTCACCCCACAGCACCCCATAAGGGTATAAATACCTACTTTTTCTTTTCCAGGTGATCTTTAAGGCCAGGCAGCAGCAGGCAGGGTCGGTCTGTCTGGGCAGAAGGGATGGGGCTCTTGCCCTGCAGATTTACCCTGCTTTGGCATCAAATCCAGCCGGTTTTAGGCTGAGTTTCTGTCCCCCGAGCAGAGCTCAGCCCCAGCACAGCCAGCCCCAGGGCTCTTTGGTGCTCCTTGCATCTTCTTGGGTACAAGATCTCTGTGGGTGATGGTGCCCACAGATTGCCCAGCTGCTCGGTGTGCATTTAGGGAGCTACATGTGGTTGGATTTCGCTGTGTCCTCAATTGTGATCCCCAGGGCAGAAAAATTAGGACTTTCTTCTCAGTTAAATTAAAACCACAAAAAGTGAAGCAAAACCTCTGGAGAGCGGTGTTACCTGTGGTAGTGACCGCCGTTCACCACCCGCTTCTGTTCAGCCATGACCCCTGCTTTGGTTCTGCTGGGTTTTTAGCCATCTTGACCTCTTGTTTGCAAATATGATTGGTAATATAATGCTCTATGTACAAATGTCTGTGTGGCTCATGTGTATGTTTCTGTGGTTCAAGTCAGCCACAGAGTTCTGGAATTTCATTGTACTTTGGTTAAATGTTGGACTTTTAACTCTTCTACTGTATGGCTTCTTGATTTCTCTTGTCCAATGTGGACCAACTCTATTTTTGGAAATAAATAAGCATGTAAATAAAATGAATGGGTTTATGCCACTTACAAGAAAATGCTTTATTTAAAATATACACTCAGTCTTGTATATTTTATGGTATCTCAGGGAGGGACAAGGCTCAGGCACCGGCAGCCTTGGTGATGAGGTACCATATTATGTACAAATTCATTTCCAAGTGGTTTCAGAAGAAGACTTTCCATCTCCTGAGTCAAACCCCCATAGGACCAGCCTGGAGGAGGAGGAGGGTGGGGGGAATCCAGAAAGAATCACGTAGCTTAAGAGGAGTAAAGGAAATAAACACAACTTTCCTCTCAACACAAGGCTTCTGGTTTGAGGTGTCTGGGTGCCAAGGATGCTGCCGAGTGCAGGGATGCTGTGGGGCAGTTCTCGGCTCCTGCCCAGGAGCATGTGGAGATCAGGAGCATGATGACTTCTTTTCTTTCTCTTAAATTTCTCCATATAAACCAATATTTACCAGTAATCCTGTGTTTCTGTTTTTGTTTCTTGGCAGACTTTTACCAGTAAATATCGGTTTATTCCTGAAACCAGAAGCCCTAAACATACCTTTGTTTATAAGGTCAGTTGTCATTTTGTCTCTCTCGTTCCCCACTCCCCCCCCACAGTACAACCTGGCAGGTGATTGAAAGGTACCAAGTTTTCTTTCTAGTTTTCCTGCTCTGCATCTCTGGGAATGGAGCCCGCAGGACCTAGAGCCTTCTGTTGGTAACGTAGACCTGAGTTTACAAATTCTTCTTTTACCATTTTAAAGCCTGCTTTTAAGGACAGAGGTGTTCCCAGCTGCGGGAATGGGTAGAACCCCCACAAAAGTAGAAACACCTCTCTGAAGCCTGTGGGTAGGTCTCTCACAAGCATCTTCAGGCTTGGGGCTGAGGAAATAAGTTATCCCAAAATATACACTGAGAAATGCCATTGCTGGTTTGCAGGGAGCAGGACTGGGGGAGGGAAGGGTGAGAAAGGAGTTGGAAAAAATCATTCCCCCCCCCATTTTTTCCTGATTTACTTCAAAGTGTGACATGGGGAGGAGGGAGAGAGTTTGAACATTGCCCTTCCTGAACTTGGCGTAAACTCTTCTCCAAGGCTGGAAGAAAGGGCAAGTGCAAGGTCTGATCCTTAAAAGGACATTGCTAGGTGTCTGAGACCCCAGAAGCAGCTGCACCTTTAATGACAGGAACCACTTTAGGTCATCTTATCAGAGTTTTGGTTATTCCCAGACAAATCCCCTTGGGAGCATTGAAGCCTCCTGTATTTTTGTGCAAGTGTTTGCGACTCAAACACAACAACCTTGCGCTGATACTCCAGAAACAGAGAAGCTGGTGAGGAATAGAAAACGAGTTCTCTGCATGGTCCCAGCCAATTTTTCTTCTCCCAAGTAAACAAAATGCCAAAAAAAAACCCCAAATAAAGCCTTCTTCCAAAATGCAACCTCCCAACAAAGCAAGCCAAAATGGATCTCAAACGCCTACTCTGGTTGTATCATATGTGGTTGGTGAGAGCTCTTTCAGCCTAGCTGCAACCTAACTATGTCCCTTTAAGGAGCACCAGTGTCTATTTTCCTCTTAATGAGCACCAAAGCTGAGGGGTTTGCAGGTTTCAGATGCAGGCTGAAGTTCCTGCAGCCGTAGATGGAGTCCAGAGTGAGGGGAGCCCTTCCAGCTGTGCACTTTGAGCTGAACACTACCTTTCCTCCCCTTTTGCAGCCTGGGTGGTTCTGATTGCTGGCAGTTCTGTAACACAACTTTAATCTGAGCAATTGAGGCTGGTCCTACCTTATCTTCAGACGTCTTGCGGAGGACTCCTGTTGCCAGTTTGGTACCCAAAAGCTACACCCCACCATCAGAAGTCACTTACTCTTTTTTTTGTCCAAGGCAGTGATAGATCACCCTCTCTAGCTCTAATGGAAAAAAAGATAATTGCAATGCAACTTTCTAATACATTGTTCATATATACATAATTCCATTGCAATCCCAGATTGGAGAAGAGATCTGTTAAAGGTATATATTAGTCTAGATTTTTTCTTATTGTAAATACTGTAATTTTATAATACTGTCAATATTTTATTAACTTAGAAATATTTAACAGAGTTTAATCTATGGTAGTTGATTTATTTATAGGTTTATGTTGCAGCCAATATTGCATTACATTCTAATGTAAGATTAACTTTCAGCATGTAAACCTTGATTTAATCTATCCCTGGAAAGATTAAGAAAGAAAACTTAATCTGTATTTATCCCCCAAATCCCAGTTTGGAATTCTTTAATGAGATCTTAGGAGGTTCCAAGAGCTCGGGAATCTTAACAACTGCGGTAGGATTTGAAAACTTGAATTTGGAAATGTGGCTCTTTCACCCTGTGAACAAGTTTGCTTCAATATCTGGTCTATACAGTACGGAAGTCTTTATTTTGAGCAAAGGGACACTCTCAGATCAATCGTAGATTCTCGGGGTTTTGGAGGGGAGGGGAAGCAAAACTGGCCCCCGTGCATGTGTGTTAATGCTTTCTTAATTGCAAGGGGTAAAAGAAAATATCCTTTTCTTGTTTGGCTCTTTGGCTGGAAGCATTCCTGCAGCACTTTGCATCCCTGTTACGAGGAGGCTCCAGAGGTCCTGCCACCGCGGCACCGACTGCAGCCAGCGCTCGGTGAGATGGGTACACGAGCACCAAGTCTAAAACCTGCCAGTTTTTGACCAAAGTTTTTACCTTTTTTATTTTTTTCCTTCTCTCTCTCTCTCTTTTACTCTGATGGTGTCCCTTTAACAGCATAAAGATGTTCACGTTCTCCGCAAAAAACGTTAAGAGTTATTTTCTTTAAGGCAGGGCAGAATTGGACTGTAATATGTTTTGCATAAAAAATACCAAAACTATATAAGGTTTTTCATGGGAGCTGGTATTTTTGGAGTGTAAAAGTTAATCTTTATTAGAGATGTGCCAATCTATACTGCTTTATTGTAGTGTTGTTACACTTAGGCCTTTCAGTTAACTTACAAATATATACTGTAACAGTATACTTTGTACAGATTTATTTAAAATTTATTTGAAAAACTGAAATAAAGTAGGCAGACAATAAAGATATTTATTTTTCATTTGACTATGTAAGAAGGTATCATTCTTTTGGTTTTAGTGCACTGGTGTACCAAGCCTCAGAACCACTGCTTTCTCCAGCTCATAGGATGCTTTTCCGAGACTGTGGATACGTGTATGTGTACTGCTGTGTTGATAAGTAAATGCCAACGATGGAGTTCGTTGCTTTTATACATCCCAAAGAGAAGTTCTCCACCGTTCATTTTTCTGTTTTCTGACTGAAAAGGCGTGTGTTTGTGAACAGTGTTCACACAAGTTCTGCCATCCCACCCTCACATCAGCTTATACCAATGCCAGGATGGGAGGATTTGCCTGCGAACCTTCCCCAAAACACCCTGGTCCGCAGTGGCATCGTCAGGGAGCAGTTCAAACGTGTGTCCTCTGGGCTTTGTGCAAAGCAGATGCAGAACAAGAAAAATCACGATGTTAAATCCATTAGAAAACCAATTCCTTATTGTACAGTAGTATGGAGATCTCTAGTCAACCTGCCATTAATAATAGATTCTTATTTTTTGAATGATCTATTTAAAAGAACAGCAAGCATTGTATTTGCTAGTAAATCTGAAGTGTTTACATGGAATTACTAAATAAATTATTTGATCTAAGATGGCTCTCATCAGTGCTGATTTTTAATGCTGGAAATTAATTTCGGCAGCTGCTTTTTTAGTTCATGCTGTTCTTTAAAATCTCCCAAAGCATTTTTTTTTTTTCTCTCAGTGCATCCTTGTGGGTTGAGCAAGGTTCTGAGGAAGATGCAGAGTGTGCCTCTCCCGGTGAGGTCTGGCAGGAGTGCTAGCTAACGTTCTGCAACCCCCTCCACGCCATGAGACTGCCCCTTCCTATTCCAGACAACTGCTTGCAGTGCTGAGACAGAGAAGGATGCTCTGAGCTGGAAGCCCTGCGGCAGATGGAACTGCTTAGCCGCAGTTTTCACCCGTCAGAGCCCTGGTGCATGTATATAGATAGATATATATTTTATAGCAGAAAGCATTGGGATAGAAGTAAAACATCATCCTTCAAGGTAACAAGTTGTCAAACCCAGTTCCAGCATGGCTTGGTCGTGCTTGCTGCTGTCACAAGGCTGCAGGAAAGCCCTGTGCTCCCAGCCCCATGACCTTGCTCAAGGCCCTCGTGTCCATGGGCAGTCACAAGGAGCAGAAGCAGATGAGTGCTCTGGATCATCATCAAGGCTGAAGGTGAATTCAGGGGTTTCCACCCCTCTGAGCGCCAGAGCACTGGGGCTACTCCCCGAGGTGGGGAGCTGGTTGTGCAGCTCCCGAAGCACTGTGCTGCTCCAGTGTAGAGGATGGAGTAGGTGATGTTCTGCACTGGGGCTCCAGCCCAGCGTGCGGAGCTTCTGGCAGTGGGAGGAAAGCAGCAGGAGTGCAGTTAGTGAGAGGCTGGGTGGAGAAATCTATGGAGAAGGACCAGGCAGAAATAGCAGGCAGTCGCTGCAAGTGCAGGGTCTGGCCACACTGTGTCCCCCTCTAAGCACTGCATACACTCATTCCTTCAGAGGCGTTCAAACCAGGGAAAAAACGAAACTATAAATAATGCAATCTATCCCGCATTCCTCATTTCCCAGGCGTTCTCATACAGCTTGCCAAGTCACCTAATGTTTAATTTAATGCTCTCAGTGCTCAGTGCCTGGTTAGAAAACCCGACAAACGCTTACATTATGCATCATTTGGAATATTTTTGGCCATGGATTTCACACTTCACGTTCAGGGCAGGATTCCCACACCACCACCACCACCCCCGAGCTGCTGGGGAGTGTTGAGCCCAGACCCTGCTCCATGCACGCAGCCAGTGTCCCCAGTCCAACTGCTCCTGCTTCCCACTCCTCTCACCCTCACTGTTTGGGAAGCCCTAAGGTATCTGTCCCTGGCCCTGCAGTGCAGCCCCTGCTCCCCCCAAGCCTTTCACCTCACTGATCACAGCACACTGCACACCATGCTGCTTTCACTGCAAATAATTCTGCTCTTGCTTATTCTCCTGAATAGAGTATTTATATGCATCTTCTCCTCTTGTAAGAGCAAGCACGTGGTTCTGAGCAGTGTATTGCTAGTAATTTGCTTTCTGAATTGAGCAGAGTGACAAAATAGCTATGCTTATCTGCGTTACATCAAGAACTTACTTGGGATGGATGTTTCTTCACATTGATACCTACCAGCCCTAGCCAATGGTTGGTGCTTGAGAAGAAGCTGAAACAGCAGCTCTGCACCTTGCCGAGCCATGCAAAGCCTTATTTTGGAAGAAAACATTCTCTCATTAGCTTTATTTCCCGTCCCACCCCACACACTGTCTTTTTAGCATCAGGAATTAGGAACCATAGGGTAGGAAATTATTCAACCCACTGCTGAGCCTCAAAGATGCTCAAGCTTCAACGATGCTTTAATATGCGGCTGGGAAAGGACAAGGTGGATGGAGTGACCTGCTCAGGGATGTGCCCACAGCTCTGATCCTGCTGCTCTGCTGGCTCTTTTCATTTCAGTGCTTAAAACCCAACCTGAAGCATCAGACAAGAACAGGGATCATGAATTGGTGCTTTCAGTAATTGGTGCCATTTGTTTGTACTGATGGGGCGCAGTCCAGTAACTCAGATACAGAGCATCTCGAGTCAGCTTTGCCTCACGTGATGGCTTCCAACCAAAGCAGTTCCTTCCTCACTGGCTTGCTTGGCATTGCTGAGAACCTGCTGTCTTTTCTGGACATTGGCTGAAGTGGGTTACTCCAGAAGAAAGAAGGGAGGCATTTTCTGGCATAGGAAACCAAAGCAAGTACTTTCGCTGTCACCACTGCAGCTGCTTGCATGGAAAGGTGACTTGAAAGCCAACTGAAAGCTCCGCAGCACTGCCATGTAGGTGTTGGGAGTAGAAGCTGCTCTTGATTTCAAGAAATGTATAATTGGAATGAGGAGGCATAGACATGAGCTTGATCCATGTCCAAACCCTTTCTCCCTCCAGCCTTTCAACCCAGCAGAGCATGGTAACTGTAAAGACATAATTTGAATTATTTCACCCCAGATTCGTTTCTCCAAGTTTAACATATGGAGGTGCTAAAAGTGGGGAAAGAGAGGAGCTTAAAAGGGAGAAGCAATACTGATGATAGCATCAAATACTGGTTCAGATGGGAAACCAACCTGATCGTTTGTAGCCACCCACAGGAGGGGTGGGAGAGGCTTATCTCCTACTGTATCTCATTTCATAGCTCACCCAGTGTTTCGGTAGGCCTGAGAAACAAAAGCTGTGGCAGAGAGGGACGGTGAATTCCACCGCGGGGCCAGGAGGAAGGTGGAGGGAGGGAGGTGATGTGACTTGGTGAGCGATTGCTCTGCACCTCCTGACGAGCTGATGCACAAACATCTCCGGCTGCTCTGGAGGCTTGACCAGGGTGTTTATAGGCAGCCGCCTGCTCCTGGCGAGCTGTTCTGTCTCTCCTGTTAGCACTGACACTGAGCACTCAGTGCCGATGGATGCCCAGAACAGCTTGATCCCCAGCAAGGATGTCCCGAGAGAGCAGTGAACAGAGAGGGAAAGAGCAGAGAGGGAAAGAGCAGTAGCCGAGCGCTACTGCCTCTACAACAGACGCTTGGTTTCCCTGCACCTCCCCTTGCTCTCCCTCCCAGAAGTGTCTCCTGATCAAACCTGCACCCATGGCTGCCTGAGGGGGAGCAAGCACTGAGGGTTGACCACAAAAACTGAACTGCGCTAAAGCTGAAAGCAGGAGATCCCCCAAGCCCTATCTCCGTGCCCTGCCAGGTGAGACGAGCTAACTACAGCTATAACCTTCACTGCAGGCTGCATCCCACAAAGTGTTTCCGGTTGAGGCTGTTCACCTTGGTCATGGGAAGAACCTGCCCAAGTATTTCTTTCAGGAATGGCCGTGGAAAAGCACCATCATTCCTCCTGATGGTAACAAGAGCAGTCTGTGCCCTGACATGGTTGCTGGGCTCCCCTAAGCACAAGAGCTGCTGTACCTCAAGAGCAAACAGCCCCTGGTGTTAGAGGATCTTAGCACTAAAAGTAACATCATGCAGGATGAGCTGTGACTCCCATCATGGAGAGCAGTAGGGACATAGGGAATCCCTGTGCCCTGCTGTGATATCCTCTGGCCGTGCTTCTCCTCCCAATCCTCATGGTGCCCCATAACACTAAGTGCCCCTAATCCCTACATTTTCTCTGGTGGACTTCCCTTAGTTTAGCCTACAGCTTGGTGATTTCTCAGCAAGCCTTTATTTCTCTGTGGTGGGATTGGTAACAGTGGGTACAGCAATAGCAAATAATTATTCAATGACCTTTTGGGGTTTAAAAACCTGTGGCTTTGCCAGGGGCTAATGATTCATGGACCTAAAGAAGCTTCTGAAACACCATCATTTGAGCAATAGCCAAGTATAGGTGGGAAAGGTGAGCTACAGATGGCAACAGCACCATGAAGTCTCAGTGAAGGACCCTGTTTGGAGCCAGGAGGTGTCCCCTTGAGTCCTGCTGCTGTCACAGCCAGCCATGCCACCTTGCACCATGGTGTCCCTGTCCAAGTGCGGACAGAATACACAGATTCCTGGTATGGCCTCTGCATCCCAGCCATGGCTTTTTGGGGACTGGGAGGGATTGCCCAGTCCATCCTGTGGGCACACAGCCGTTAGATGTGGGAGTGCTGGTGCCAACATCTAACACCAACTTCTACCTCTCGCTGCCGCCCCAGCAGTGCCCCGCAGTCCCACTCTGCCCCTGGCAGTCAAGGAGACCCTGTAACATTGCTCTGGGTACCCTGGTCCTGGGGAAGAGCCAGATCCGGGCAGCGGGACAGCAAACCCAGCACCACAGCTTTACAGAGTAAAAGGTGTCGTGGAGCCCTCAGAAAGCTGAGGTGCCCCCAGAACTGAAGCCCCTACAGACAGCCCCTCCACAGATTGCAGCCCCATGATAACCTTGGCTTTGCTGCCAAGGCTGGTGGAAGTGCCTCAGGACACAATGCCCAGCACCCAGCATGATGTGTGTGTCATGGACAGGACACAGGGATTTAGAGACAAGGCACTGTCAAAAGAGACAGTAATTAGTACTAATTGCAAGTAATCAGCCAAACCTAAGAGCATAAAGGGGCCTAGTCCTGGCAAAGCCAATAGCTGGGGTAACGAGGGCATTTGCTTGGCAGGCTGTGGTGGGAGAACCACATGGATGGGGACCCATGGGGCCGCCCCTTTCCGTCTCTAGAGACCACACTCCCTTCACATATCCATCACATACACCTGTAGCACCGTCAGTTTCTGATTCTTTGGTCCTCGCAATACTCTGTGCCCAGAGCAGATCTCCAGGCATGGCATCAAGACCTGCAGCTGCCCTGTGACCCCAGCCAAACCATCACACCCCACTGCTGAGCCCCAGGGTGCCTCCCGGAGACATGCTGGTGACGAACAGGGTGCTGTGCCTTGCTCTGAGAACAAGGATGGAAGTTTTCCTATTTCACCCCTGCAGTATATTTCACCTGCAGTATATGGCCGCCCTCACATCTGCAGACTTCATTTGGCACCCACATCCTCAGGGGTATTAAGGAGCTCTCAGAATTGGGTTTGAAATGCTACCCAATTCCTTCCTTACCTGTTCCC